AATTGGAATGTTCCAATTGCTTAAGCTTGTTTTCGTCGTGGAGCACTGCTCCACAACAAAAACAAGCTTAAGCAATGACATCGTCGAACAGTACACACTCAGTAAGTAATTCTACAATTTCTTGTCTATAGCATAGTTTATATGGATTATTCCCAAAAAATTATACATATTTTGGAAATGTTGAGTCAAATTAGTCTAGAATCGATTAATTTTATGGAAGAAAACCTTTCAAACAGCCATAGTCCCTAAACTGCACACGTGTCTGGCTGTGATTGGCTCATGTATTTAAGTGGCTTGTACAACACGGAAATCACATAACGGAACGTATCTACCGTGTTATAGGGGGTCGACTGTATATATGATCAGATTTTAACATTTATTCTGTCCAAAGTGATTCTAATTATTGGCCATGAAATTTTCAGATAGTTGTATCTACTTTCCAATGCCTATTTGCAGACAATGTTCCACTCCAAAGCAAGAGGTCCAAAGCTTTATTTCAACAAGATTTATCTGCAAAACTGTTCAATTCCATTAGTTACAATGAACATTTAGCTGAAAGGCATTACATGGGCTGTTTAAAACAAAACAAGCAAAACGGCAAGCCCGATTTTTGGGACAAGACTATGTCTCAGAGACTCAGAGCTCAATGCAATCATTCAAACTTCACAGGCCTTGGCCACGACCACAAAGTCATCCACGAGGCATTTTTGGTGAAATTAACCTATCCAATGTAGAAATTTCTGTTAGTTGCCAATGCATAACAAAAATTTCCCGTTTTTGAAAAAAATAATCATGGCTATTGTATCATCCGAAATTATTTTTATATTTTGAACAAACAAAATAAATATAATTTTTTTTGTTTTTACATTTATTAATATATTTCGGAAGTTACTTTTAATATAAAATTATAACGACTAGTGCCATTTAGTTTAAAAAATGTTCCAATGATATGAGATATCTTGGGTCAATCGGTCAAGGTCAGCAGGTTGCGACCAGAGAGGTAAATGGGTTTTTTCAAAGATTCGTTTGTCAAAGTTCAATTTCACAACGTTTGCATTTCCAACTTCCCAACAATATACGCATGCGCAAATCTTGAACTCTTGTCTGTTTGTAGAAAGATGTCGCCATTTTGTATTTTAGTTCGACTCGGTCCTGAGTACCTACAAGTCTGATTTTTTTTTTTTTGTGTGTGCATGATTTGGGCACCTAATACTCTCTGCCAAATTGCAACTCTGTCTTTCTTATACTTCTAAGCTGTGTACCTGTAACAGCACCACAATTTTATAAACAAGACATCGTCTTGTTATAAAATTATAAACTTTAAAATTATATTATATAAAAGACATAGTCTTGTCAAAAATAACTACCAAAGATTATTTAATGCATGAGAGGTAAACAATACATATCTATTCAGAAAGGCATTTTTTACTCTATTGTTTTTTAACTTAAATTCTCTGTAACTAGAAGTTTTTCTTGCCCCTTGGAGCTTTGAGTTAGAGAAGTTTTACTTTAGTTTAATCAAGTGATCATAACCTGCAGTTCCACAACCATGTGGCTCTTTGAGAGTTATATGCAGATACTGATGCCAATTTACTCACTGTATCCAGATCTAGTTTGATAAGCTAGGTCATATATGGTTAAATATTAAATCATACAGAAATGCTTTTTACAAAGTAATGTCATAGATAAAAACAATTTAACATTATAATTTTCACTAGCAACCATTTACAGTATTTTTATGTAGCAGGATTAGTTTTTTGCAAATACATTTTTTTAATATTAAAAAATTCTTGCAATGGGAGGTCCTTCTTTTCATGGTATACAATCATTATCAGTGTGAGCTGTATAAATATTTTAAAAGTTAATGCCAGATTATAGATTTTGATGTTATTGTGGAGGATTGACCAGCTAGTGGAAAAGTGAAAGAAAGTGAAATAAAACAGCACAGCTTGGTTGGAAGTATGAACAAACTTAATAGAATTAATTTCAAATAAGATGGTAATAAAAGAACTCTGTACAACAATTACAAAATATATAAAATATGTGTGAAAAATAAATAAATGTAAGTTCAAAGGTAATGATAAATAAATAAAGTAATACATTAGAACCTGGTTAACTCAAATTTGTTAAACTGTTTAACTCAAAAGAAGTTTTGATACAATAATTTCATAAATTCTCTGAACTTTTAATTTTTCATTAAATAAAATAATTAGTTTATTTGATAGATGAACATTAATCAGAAACTTTCTATAAAGTGCGGGAACCACATACCACTAAAAATAAGCATCATGTCATGATGGCGGACAAGGAGTGGAGGCTTCTAGACAATTCGTGAAACCTATATAATGGAACTGCCATTTGAACCTGTCTTTATTTCCAAACGTTTTTTATTTTATTTGATTGCTGATGGATTTCTCCAGTAGCTGACTTAATAAATAAATGAATTTCTTGATAAATTAATTTAAAAAATGATTATATTCTGATTCTATGTAAAAATTTTAACTTTTGCAGCTAAATTTTAAAAATATAACAATTGTAAAGAGTGTTTTTTTTTATTTTTGTGATAAAAAATAATAAACAAATTCTGGGCATAAAATATCACAGTTAAAAAAGTCCTTACTAAATACTTAGGAGCAAATGGATCAACAATTTGGGAAAACATTTCTTGGTAGCATATTTATCCATTTGGTTAAGCATTTTCAAGTTTCTGAACAATACCGAGAGATTTACATTGACACAATGATTCTACGGAATAAGATCCATAGAAATATCATATGTGTAGTTTATTATGGGTCACTGATAAACCAATGCACAAGATCTTGATTTTTAGCCAAACACAAACTTGAAACTTTTTAATTCCAAATTTTTTCCCTGACCAATTCAAGTTAACCAGGTTATAGTAATAAAAACAAAAATTACAACACAGCAATACAATTGGTAATAAAAGCTTATTACCAATTGTATTGCCAACTATGCCATTGTGCCATAATATTAAAAAAACTTTTTCAGCAAAATAGTCCCTTCTATGTTTTCATCAAATGATATATCATTCCAAATACAGGTATACCTCACCTTACGTCGGTAATTGGTTCCAGGAGAGGCAACGTAAGTCGAATTTACTTGTCTCCGAATCTTCTTATCACTAGGCTAAACCATAAATTACCATTCCCAGTTCTGTATTTTATTTATTAATGCATTTTTAATAATATATGGTTAATAAGGATCTATTTTAAGATTACAAACAAATAAATTTTAGTTTTTAATATAGTATAGAAAAAAGTAATCTAAATTTACGAATGTATGTACAGTACTGTAAATACAGTACATACTTGTAAATGTATATATTTTAATATGATTTTATGTGCTTTAAACGTTTTTCTACTGATATTACGACTTCAATATTTGTGGCGGACAGACGTAAAGTCGAATAAAATGACTTAAACTTGATTTTTATTTTTCCATATACTTTTTTGACAAACAACGTATAATCGGGAATGACCTAACTCGAAATGACGTAAGTCGAAGTATACCTGTAAATTGTTTTCTGTTTCTCAATTTTTTTTTTTTGTAAAATGACAAGAAAAAAATATGTGTGTATTATATTTACAGATTGTTATTAACTATAGGTACAGTGTATTCAAAATTAATTTTTATTTGCATATCCTAAGATTCTTGATATTTAGTTTTTAGAAAATTTTGAAATATTGTCACTTCTAAAAATGATTACTAATTTCTAATCTGACTAGTCTTGTATTTTATATAATGTAATTGTACTTTGCTAAATAATATTACTTAGCTTTAAAATTGTTATTTTTAAATTCAGTTATTTTATTCATTTGAATATAATGCAAATAAATATAAATAGTTTATCATATACCTGTAAATAATAAATTAAAAATGAGTATAAAATAAATGTAAATATATGATATATGTAATATATTCCATTAACATATATTAATGTGTTAATAAATATAAAATAAAAGTTAAGAGTGAAACATAAAAACTAAAATTTGCAATATTAAAAGCAATATTAATTTTTGCATCAAAAAATTTGATAGTATTCCTATGCAAAAAATAGATTTAATATCTGTATATTATGAAGGATAGCAGTTGAAAAAATAAATCCTTATAAAATATTTTATATATTGAAATAATAAATTTAGAATTTGTAAAAAACAACAAAGATAAAAGTGGACCTTATATTTTTATTTTTTGATTTTTTTTAAGATACAATGAAAATTAGACTAGTTCTTTTCCCAACGATTTTGTTCAGATCAATTCTTGATCCTAGTTTTAAATTGCTTTTATACCCAAATTTTCATAGTATTTTATGATTTTATAAAATACCAAGTCTGTAATTTTGGTATTAATTTTTTGTTCATTTTTCTTAGTGTTTTCTTGGATTTTATATTTTTAAAATTTGAATAAGTAAACTTCTATAAAATAAGGTTTTCTTATTATTAAAATTTTAGTTTGTTAGTAATTTAATAATATACAACACTTTACACTTAAGTTCTCTTTGGTCATTTATTATATGATATCATGCAGTAACTATTGCATATAAATTCTTTTTATAATAGTTTAAGAGCATGAGCAACTCACCACCAACACAGAATGACAAAAACACAAATAAATTCATATTATTTTAATACATCTTTATTGATATTTAATAACAAATAAATATCCATAATAGAATATTAAAGCACATATATTAGAGATAATAAATTTATTTTTACATGTTGGTGGTAAGTTGGAATTCAATAAAATTTTAGACATTGTAAATATACAAAATTTTATATATCTGTTAAAATTTTTAAGAATTATTGCACAATAGTGTAAAATTATACAACCTTTGTAATTCACAAATCATGCTGATAAAATTTTTCCTTTTTTTTTCATTAGGTAAAAATTTTCAGAAATTAAAACTGATGCAAAATATTAATATAGTAGAAAGGAAGTCTTTGGCAATAACAATGCTTGTTCACTGTTAACACACTTACTTTGAATGTTCAATAGACGAAAGATGTGATGCTGCTCCAGATACTAGACTGTTTGGTTTACGATATAGTTCAAAAGCACTTCCACGACTTTCTCTGTTTGAAATTATTTGAGGAGGAGGAGGTGGTGGTGGTTGTGAAAGATGATGCAACTGTAGTGGATAATGATTAGAACTAATTGGTATACTGTTATATGGAGTCCTTCCATTTACTGTTCTTGGAATTGTATTAGTTGAAACATAATCTATACTTTTAGAATACGGATGACACTCATATATTTGATCAAAATTGTTGTTCATGCATTCTTCATTATCCAAATACTGATGAGATGAATTAATTGGAAAAGAATTCTGAGGATTATTAGAAAAAGTTATTGATTTGCCAAATGATGATGGGTCAGTATTAATAGATGATTTACAATAATATGGTGACTGAACTGCTAAACTGTTCCTATTTGGATTGTAAGATCCAGTAGCATTAGGTGATCTTGGTAAAGTAACAGTATTAACATTTTCTGGAGATCTTATTTGTCTTGAAATGTAATTAGTGGGTTTTGGAGGTGGAATTGGTCTTCCATCTAATAATCTGTTGAATTAATAAATAACAAATAATTAAATTATGTTCTTCTATGCATTTAACATAAATAAATAATAATAATCAATATTCTATATTATAATCTATACAAATTACAATATTGAAAATGAAAACACTGTAATAAATTTTTTATTTTTAAAACTCAAAAAAAAAAAAAACAATTTCTTAAAATAATATAAAACTGCAATGAAAATATGTGAAACTTAGCACTGTAATGTTCAATAAAAAAAAAACTGCTTGATTAAGATTACCAAAATTGTTTAATATGAAAAATTTGAGGGCTCAGTTCAGGCCATTCTCAATATACTTGTAAAATAACAAAATTAAAACATTATTTTTATTTTAACTTTTTCTCTTTCGTAAATTTATAATTAATTACTTTTTCATTTTTTTTATTATGAATCTAAAGCAATTTTTGTTTATAGAATTTAAGGAAATTCATTTTTATTACAGTCTGAATGAAACTGAATTATAACAAAAACATTCAGTTACTTAAATATTATATAATAAATCATTGCACCATTTTTAAAAATATATTTACTTTTTTACATTTTGTACAATGATTAAGATTATTAGTTTTGCCCCTATATTTTTGTTTCTCTGGGCAGTATGTAAAAGACAATGTTTAAGTGCTGTCTTTGCCACAAAACTTTGTTGAAGTGAACAGCTCCAACAATTGATCATTAGATGTTGGTTTTGGGTGACAAGTGGTATGCAAATTGAACTTTCATAAATAAGGTACTGAATTCATGTGGAGGCAAGGCTACAAGGAAACAAAATCTGTTACATGATATGTTATCACTCATAGGAAAAAATGGTTAGCTAGAAATCCATATCATAACTGAAAGAAAGTAAACTTTGTGTTTTAATTTTTAAACAAAATTGTAAACTTTTCTTTTTATTCCACTTTTCTTTTTTCTTCATAACTTTTTGAATTATAAACTTGTTTGCATTTAAAGTTTGATGTTGGACTATCATTTGAATAGAAATACAATTGAAATGACTAAAGTTTTCAATGAAAATTCAAAATTTTTTCCTGCTACATTCCTACATCCTTTGAATATTAGTATTGTGACAATGATCACACCATATGATGTGTTCTACTACTATGCTCATTGTGTGAATGTTAATCATAAAAGTACCATTTAATTAATAGTTATTTATAAAATATTGAGGTTGCCTATTTCTAGTTCAAATTTCATAATAATTTAATTAAAGTATAATCTTGAAAGATCTTAAAAATGACGTAGCTATTTGGTTTAAGTATATAATATAATTTCAAGTTTAGGTTTGCATTTATTCATTTTTTTCAAATTTTTACATAGCTAAAACTCTTGAAAAATAAGTGTATTTTAAGTGTTTAGATATTTAAATATT